GCTGTACTATCTACTTGAAAGTTGGAATATTTAATCAATGCCCAAATTCTCAGTTCAATAATTCCAATAAATACCGTTCTTGTGAAAGTGAACTGTTGTGATTGAGGAATGCTTAGTACAATGTTATATTAAATACAAATCTTAGGTGCATTTAGAGTTATGCGACACTAGAGCACTGAGGAAATCAAATGCCTGTTCATTTCTGGGTAATGTTTAAAAATGTAACGTTAAGTGAAAAACTAAGAACCCTCTGTTGTCGAATGCAAGAAAGTAAGAAAATGATTAAACTCAGTCATCAGTTACAAAATATATTACACAGACCTGGAAGTGAGTTGCCTGTTTTATTTCAGCCAGGAGGAGGGGAAAGGAAGTTTAAATGAGATGACAAAAATAATTAAAACTTTGCAAGGTTACTGCAAGGCAGGCGTATTTCATCATCAGTGTATTTTGTGCAATAGAAACCCTTCAAGTAAAAAGTGCAAACAATCGTCGTTTTATTAAATGTTGTATTTTCTTCTCAATTATGCTCTCTTTCCATCTCCTGCATGAATGATTCCCTGACTGGAGTATAATTCCATTGGAAATGTTTGCCTTCTGGCTGTGATTTTATGTATGAATCATATCAGCAAGCTATGAAATTCAGATAGTGCCATTATCTGACAGTCCTAAAATCCCAGCAGAGGTGATTCAGAGCAATCAGAGACAGGAATGTTGGCTAATTAGTTCATGGATACTGAAGCCAATTGTAATGATCCCATGATTCTGTTCTCGCATCAACTAAATTGATACAGATCTGATCTATAATACCCACATTTTGGTGGACCTTATAAATGGTTTTGGGGGTTGGTTAGATGCTGTAGAGTGTCATGCAAAATAAGGTGAACAGTGAGAGTTCAATCTCTCTACCAACTGTTGTTTTGTGAAATCCTGCCTTCTCACCCTACCCATGCTTGTGGAGGGTTACTCAAACAATTGTCTCTCTTGAATGGAAAAAGACACTTACGGTACTTTGTGACTGATAACTCCATGCTGCAAATGGCTCCCTTACTTCAAGTAGCAGTTCCCTATATTTCAAAGAAGCCATTGCCAAACCTCCTCCGCACCTCGACATGAAAGCAACCACAGAACCACTGTCCTTGCAAGTTACTCGCCTATGTCCCAGCTTCCACTCCAAATACATTGAAAGTGTTGTTACCACCTGAATTCATGACCACCTTTTCAGCAACAATATGAATTTTGCCAGAGCATCAGAATGACCGAAGCCAAAATCATAATTGATTTCTTTGAATATGACATGGTGTATTAGTGCTCTTCCTTTCCCCTAATGCCTTAACATGTTTAGTCACACATCCTTTTTGAAGATCTTCCTCTGTTGTCCAGCAGATTAGTCTTCCCTTACTTGGATCCAATCCAAATTATTTGACTAATTGCTGGGCAATTCCAGCAATAGTTCTTGCCCTAAATCATTGTCTCCAGAATCCATGCAGGATCTATCTCTATCCCCCTTTTTTACATTTTGATTATGCTCTTTGGCCACATCACCCATAGATTTGGATTCAGCTTCCACATGCTCTCTAAGAACAGTCCCTCTAACTGTACACGACTTCTCTCAACTTCCAATGTATCTGTGATATCAGACTGCTTGTGTGTTATTCATACCTGGTTTAGCCAGTGTTTCTTCCAAATATTACTAAACTAAAGCCATTGTTCTCTGTCCTCCCACAAATTCCACATTTCAGTTGTCACTGATTTGATTTCCTTCCTTGGCCAATGGGAAGCTCTGGGACTAGAGTCAGCCACAATTTAAAAATGTACAGGCAACATGGCTCCTTTATTAAAAAAGCTTTTTCAGACTTGCTGCATGCAGACTCTGTCTCCAAGTTCAATTCTCTATGTTAGCTTCAACAAAATGTGCAAGATTACAAATTTAAAAAAAAAACTGTATTACATCCCCCTCTTTCTTAGTAGATGAGTAGATTGTTTCAATTATTTGTTTCCAAAACGTAAACTATAAACCTAAGCATAAATAGAACATTCAGTGAATTACATATTCTAGCTTTGTATTCATTTGCTGCTGCACTTGGTTGTAGATGAGATGAAAAGTTTGTTGACCAACTGAAAACAGTTCAATTTGTAACATGGTATGGTAGACGTTTTCACTCCATGAATATAATGGTGTATAATGTTAACTGTAGTCTCATTTAACTCATGTTCTTCATCTGAGATGTTTGACATGGAAATGGCATTCACTGCTAATGAATGATGTTTTGGTAGTGGTGTGCTTTGAAGAATGACATTTTATGTAATGATTTGTGAACTGTGCTTAGCAGTAATCAATGATACTTTTTGTGTTGGTTACAATAAATGGCTGGATGTCACGAGGGTTTGCTTAATTTCTAACATGAGCATCATGTTTCACAAAATTTTTTTCTTCTCATAAGTGAGAGGTTCTTAGGTCCAGAAACCGCCAGAGACAGCCGTAATTAAAGGTGACTTGTTTATTGAAACAGATTCTTCAGACTCTGTCTTTCTCTTGCAATGTTCCTCTGTTAGTACGATTATGTATAGTATCTTCAAGTGAGCAATATGTACAACATTGCACGTTAAAAAAAAACTAGAGCACTATGGCCATTGACTCCTGTTGAACCAAATAGTTTGTTAACTTGACACCTACCTCACTATGCTTCTGACCCTATATGCTCTCTGTAGTGATTGGAACTGGATTGACCTCTTTAACGACGAGGTCATTGATTGGGGTTGTTAACCTGGGCTAATCAGCAAAGCCCTGGCTGACTAAATAACTAGGAGATGAGAATCTCCTCAGTTCAGGCGACTGATTTTGAACTGGCTGACCACAGCCAGTGTACTGTGCACAAGTAGATAAAGAGAGTCTTGGTGACAGGATACTGGCGTCTGTGCAGTTATTTCAGTGGTGACGAGTGAGAACAGGATGTGCCTGAAGAACATTTGTTTGCTATAGTCACCTTGGAGTTGGGTAAGCATTTCTGGCATCATGCTTTTATTTGGGAAGCTTGACTCGTTTGATCCCGCTGTTGGAGGCTAGGCCCAGTATGTGGAAAGAATGCAATATTTTTTCTAGGAAAATGACATTGGTGCAGATGAAAAGCAATGATTTATTTCAGAACACCCTTCCCCTCCCCCTTTTCTGATGAAGGGTCTAGGCCCGAAACGTCAGCCTCTCTGCTCCTATGATGCTGCTTGGCCTGCTGTGTTCATCCAGCCTGCACCTTGTTGTCTCAGATTCTCCAGCATCTGCAGTTCCTACTATCTCTGAATAATTCTTCTGACTGCTTGTGGACCTGCAGCATTCTTGGTTAAATGGGGCTTAACTTTTCCAGATGCACCAGACACGAAAACCTTCTATGAGTTGACAGAGCTGGTTAAAGTATATTATGACCCCACACCTCCTCTAATTCTGAGACACTACTGGTTTTATTCGGCTGTTGGAGAACCAGGGGAGTCCGTATTGGGATTTTTGACGAGGTTGAGACGACTGGCAGAGGCATGTGGTTTTGAATAAATACTGAATGAGATGCTGAGAGACTGTTTGGTATGTGGGATTAATGACATAACCATGCAGAAGCACCTACTAGCTGAAGCCTAACTGGACTTCAAACAGGCACTACAGCTGGCCTTGGCTTAAGAAAACGCAGTGAGTGGAGCATGGGAGCTGCAGGACATCCCAATGGAAGTGGTCACCCTCACCTCCAACTGAGCTTGGGGAACACCACTGGAGTGTAGGCAATCACAGGGCCTCACACAGGGCATATCCTGAGCAGAGGGACCCTAGGCCAACCCACAGCAGAACCCCACAACAAAGCACAGCCTCGGCCAAGTGGCTAAAATGTTCTTCAGGATCTGGGTCGGCAAACCATTGTAGTTGCTGCCGGCATTTGGACTGGAGACGGCAAAGGAGTCCTACAAGGCCTGACTTGAGTAAGAAAACTCGTAGGCTGGTACCCAGAGAGTGTACACTCTGGAAAGTCCTCCTACATGTGTGTTAGAACAATTAAATTGCATAGCTACATCCATATCGGAAACGATTAAAATTAATGTTTGGTTAAATGACCATTCAATTCCTATGGGGGTCGATACCAGCGCAGCTGTATCTGTGGTTGTAGAATTGGTCTTGAACAAGATTTGCTCAGGACTCCAACCTTTAAGTTTGCACAAGACCTCGGCCAGACTGAAAACGTACACTGGGGAAGTGTTGCAGATTAAGGGTACTACCTCAGTTCCATTCTCCTATGAGAAGCAATTGGTGCAGTTACCACTGATCGTAGTAAAAGGCTCAGGGCCAAGCCTATTGGGGCAGAATTGGCTGAGAAAGATTCACCTGGATTGGCTCAACATTTTTCAATTAGAAAATGGCTGCCTCTGTGAAGTCCTGGTGAAATACCCAGGAATATTTCAGGAAGGTCTCAGCACTATCAAAGGGGCCAAACCACCTTACATGTTGACCAGGAAGTAATTCCAAGATTTTGCAACGTCCACCCAATGCCATTTGCCTCTACACCATGCCTTCAGCCATTAAGGCTGTATATTCTACAATTCCCTAAATCACTCTGCCACTCCACCAGCCTATCCTATGAGGTGCAGTGACCCTCAGGTTAAACTCACTAACAGTTGTCCTTCTCTAATGAGAGAGCAGTGCTATGGTCCTTGGGGATTATGGCAACTTTACTTTTTTTAAAGATGCATCTTAAAACTCACTTCTTTATTCACAGCCAATGCTTACTTCCAAAGAGTCCATTTTCTTGATTCTGCACGTGCAAAGTGTCTTGGAATGATTTTCTCCATTAAAGCCGCAATATAAATGCAAGTTGTTTTATTGTATGTTTCAGGGAATTTGCTTGACCTTAACAACATTAGTAGCTCTAAAGAAACAAGCAAATATGAGAATTTCACTAAAAGAGAAATTTTGCATGTATTCTGTTGCCATTTCGTGAAGCATTTAATTTTTTTTTACAATCCAACAGTCACACTGCATACCATGAAGAACTGAACAACGTACTGCAAACACAGTAAGACTGCTACTTATTATTTTTCCATTTATTTCCTAAAATGCTTACTTGACTAAGAAAACGTTCTCCAATTCAACTTTATTACAATTTTTAGTGAACTACCTGCTTATATTGTGGAAATGTTACAGCAGGCATCATCTCCAATTTTGCAATATGCATCTTCAGGATGTAGTTCCTCTTAATCACTTTTAATACATAAAATTATTCAGCTTCAAGATGGTTACATTAATCAAAAGCAACAGAACTGCAGGTAACTTCAATGCAAGATCGAGGCAGACCACTTCATTTATAAATTAGGTACTTTTCAGCACTCTGACTTTATGTTGGCTTGAATAGTTTCACACCAAGGAACATATTACCTTAAAGCAGATGTAGGCCATTCTGTTCTTTGACCTTGCTCTGCCATCAAAGCGATGATGGTTGATCTGGTTGTGAGTTCAATTGTATTGCTTCCCCTACATAACCCTGACTTCTTTGTTAATCAAAATTATCCTCAAGTAACATCAATAGCTCAGCGTCCACTGTTTTCTAGGGAAGAGAATTCTGTCCTACAAGGGGAAACAGCATTTGAGTTCACCATGTCAAATCCATTTAATATTATGTGATTCAGTAGGATCACCACTCGTTTTTCTAACCACCAATGGGAAAGGCCCAACCTGTCAACCTGACTTTATAAATTAAGCTGTTCATCCCAGGAATGAGTTGAGTGAACCTTCTTTAAACTGCTTCTGATGCAATTATATCCTTTATTAAATAAGGAGACCGAAGTTGTATATAGTACAGCCAAATGTGGTCACACCATGGCCCACAGCTATAGGAGAACATCCTAATTATAGTTCCATTTTCTCCCTGACAGGAAATGCTGGTTCTTTGCAGCTATACTTGTTTTCTTGGAGAGATAGGAAGGGAGAAGGAAGATTAATGCACTTTAGACCTCTGAACACTGCGGGCAGTCTGTATCCAAGCTACAGTTTTCATACTTTCTTTTCCTAGTTGATATCTGCTCTGCTTTGCCAATTATTTTTTGTGTGCCTCTTTCTACTTTGCTTTTTCTTCTGCCTCAGCTATTCATTTGGGCATTGTGTCTCGCAACTTGTCTTTCAGTTCTTTGATTACATGGAGTAGGCATTCTGTCGTCTCAGTCAAATATCACTTCTCTTATGAAATCATCTCTGCTTTCCCATTTAACTTTGTGTATGTTTCTGTGCATAATCTTTGTTCTAGTCCTTCTTTACATCTGGTATAGTTTTACAGTCATTGTTCCCATGGTTTAAAAGAAATATCTCATATGATGGAAAGGCCAGCAGTTGTTTCTCACTTTCAGCTATCCTCAAGAAGATGAAGGTAATGATGAGCAGTTATTGAACTATTGCAATCCATTAGGTGTAGGGCACACCCACAGCTCTTAGTTAGGGAGTTCCAATGCTTTTTTAATCCAGTGGTGAAGTCAAGATAGTGTGAGGTTTGGAGGGAAGCTTGCAGGTGGCAAAGTTTCCTTGTGATTGCCTTTCAAGGAGGTGGAATTCATGGGTTTAGAAGGTGCTGTTGAAAGCAACTTAATGATTTGCTGCAGTGAATCTTGTAGCAGATACACATTAACACCTCTGTGTCTAGGTGCTGCAGGCACTGAACTGTTAAACTGATGGATGAGATGCTGATCAAATGGGCTTTTTTATCTCGGATTTTGTTAAGCTTCTGAGTGTCGTTAGAGCTGTACTCATTCAGCCAAGTCAAGAGTATTCTATCGAATCCCCAACCTGTACTGAAGAAGGATGAGTACTAATATCAGTCGGGTTAACATTAAATTGCTTGGTGGTCTTAAATCTTGATAGTTGTGATTTCTTCCTGGAATGATGTGCTACTTGACCAAGGAAGGATTTGGCGATATTATTCAACAAATGTAACAATAGAGTCATAGAGTTATAGAGATGTACAGCACGGAAACAGACCCTTCAGTCCAACTGGTCCATGCTGACCAGATATCCTATATAAATCCAGTCCATTTGCCAGCATTTGGTCCATCTCCCTCTAAACCCTTCCTAGTCATATACCCATCGAGACGCCTTTTAAATGTTGTTATTGTACCAGCCTCCACCACTTCCTCTGGCAACTCATTCCATACACGCACCACCCTCTGCATGGAAAAGTTGCCCTTTAGGTCCCTTTTAAATCTTTCTCCTCTCACCTTAAACCTATGCCCTCTAGTTTTGGACATTGCTACCCTGGGGAAAAGACCTTGGTTATTCACCCTATACATGCCCCTCATGATTTTATAAACCTCAGCCTCCAATGCTTCCGGGAAAATAGCCCCAGTCTATTCAGCCTCACCCTATAGCTCAAATCCTCCAATCCTGGCAAAATTCTTGTAAACTTTTTGTGAACTCTTACAAGTTTCACAACGTCCTTCCGATAGCAAGGACACCAGAATTGAATGCAGTATTCCAAAAGTGGTCTCACTAATGTCCTGTACAGCTGCAACATGACCTCCTAACTCCTATAGTCAAAGCACTGACCAATAAAGGCACTTCTTGCAGTAAATTCCCCTTTCAATCAAACACAATGGGAGGAAATGGCCTAGTGGTATTATCACTGGTCTGTTAATCCAGAGACCCAGATAAAATTCTGGGGACCTGGGTTTGAATCCCACCATGGCAGATGGTAGAATTTGAATTCCATAAATATCTGGAATTAAGAACCTAATGATGACCATGAATCCATTGCTGATTGTCGGAAAAACCCATATGGTTCACAAATGTTCTTTAGGGAACAAAACTGCCATCCTAACCTGGCCTGGCCTACATGTGACTCCAGATCCACAGCAATGTGGTTGACTCTTAACTGCCCTCTGGGCAATTAGGGATGGGCAATAAATGCTTGCCTCGTCAGCATCGCCCTCATCCTGTGAATGATTAAAGGAAAAAAAAATAACATTCTATTAGTTTTCCTGATTACTTGCTGTACCTGTTTACTAACAATGTATAATTTGTCCCTGATAACACCAAAATCTTCCTGCATTGCAGAACCTACGGTTAGATAATATGCTTTATTATTCTTTCTGCCAAGATGGATAATTTCACAACTTCCCACATTGCACTCCATTTGCCAGACCTTTGTCTACTCAATTGATCCATCTCTATCCTTTTGTAGGCACTTTATTTCCTCTTTGTAACTGACTTTCCTAAATATCTTTGTGACATCAGCCAAATGTAGCTACTGTACCTTTGGTTCCTTCATTCAAATCACTCATATAAATTGTGAAGAGTTAAGGCCCTGACGCTGACCCTATAGCATGCTTCTCATGACGTACTGCCAGCCTGAAAAATACCCATTAAGTCCTATATTCTGCTTTCTGTTAGCCGATCAATCTTATATCCATGTCAATATGTTACCCCATACCCTAAGCTTATATTTTCTACAATAACATTTTGATGTGACACCTTACTAAATGCTTTCTGGAAATCTAAGTACAGGAGTTACTTTTTTAGAGAACTCCAATTAGTTAGTTAAATATGATTTCCCTCTGACAAAACCATGCTGGCTTTGCCTGATGTGCACAGTTATAATGTCTTTAATAATAATTTTGAACATTTTCCCACGGCAGTTGTTAAGCTAACTGGTCTGTAGTTGCCTGCTATCTACCTCATTTGAATAAAGGATTCATATGAGAAAATGGCTAATCCAAAGAAACCTTCCTGAATCTAATGAGCTTTCAGAAACTAAAACCAACATATCGGTCTCTTCTGCTGTAGTGGTAGTATCCCTACCTATGAGCCACATTGCCCAGGTTCAAGTCCCAACTGCTCCAAAGGTGTAAAATAACATCTCTGAACAGTTTGATTTAAAAAAAATACATCAACTGTCTCACTGGCTGCTAATTTTAAGACCCCAGGACAAAATCCATCAGGAGCTGGGGACTTGTCAACTCACATTTCCAACAATTTACTCAGTATGTCTTCCCTGGTAATTATCTTGTTCCTCCCTCCTTTTCAATTCCTGAATTACGGCTGAAGTGGAGAATTCCATTATTTAATCCTGCAATACCCTGAAACCCATCAATAATGTTTGTGCTATAATGATGTGGGTCAGTCCACTTGAAAAGGCCATTAAGGCAGTCCAAGCTTCCCTTATGCCGTGGTGCTTTTTGACAGATTGCATGAAGTTCCTCTGTGGAGGATTAGAGTGGATCTAAGCAGAAAGTGGATCACGCTTTCTGCTTAGAGATTAGTAACCTTTTTACTGTGGAGGACTTTCATCTTCTCAGCAGGGTTCCTACTAATTACTTAGTCTATGGTGGTATAGTTTATTTACGTATTGATGACGCTCCAACAAGTGTGTCACAGGGAACAGCAAACAAAGATTCTAGCAACAGCAAAGCTGTCAATTAATTTCTGATGAAGGGTCTAGGCCTGAAACGTCAGCCTTCCTGCTCCTATGATGCTGCTTGGCCTGCTGTGTTCATCCAGTTCTGCACCTTGTTATCTCAGATTCTCCAGCATCTGCAGTTCCTACTATCTCTGAATTAATTACAAGTGGCTGGGTATAGATAAGCCTGGCCAAAGGTGTGGCTAGCATACTGCAGGACTTAGCTATAACACAGTGTGGAGCTGGAGGAACACAGCAGGCCAGGCAGGATCAGAGGAGCAGGAAAGCTGACATTTCATGTTGGGACCCTTCTTCAGAAATGGGCTTGACTAGTAATGAAGAGAAGGTAGTAAAAATGTAGTAAGTATAACTGGTGGAGGTGTAAGAAGGGTGGCAGTGGCTGTTACATCCATTGTGGTTTTGTTGGCCAGTCTCTGTATTTTCTGAGACTGTTGATATATCAGGTGGAACAGATAGGAATTATGCCTGTTAAAGAATGCATCCCTTCTGTAGAACCTAACTGAACTTCTCCCTTGCATATGCTTCAATTAAATCTTAGCTGACTTGACTTATGCAGACTCAAGAGTGATGCTTTTGCACCACATCATATCTTGTGCACAGATTGTGGAGGGTCATGA